AGTTATCATGAGCATTGCCGAGGTTGTCAAACACGTCTTCTCGGGTTGTTAACAGCCACTGTTGAGATTGTAAACGAATTGCTGTAATAAAATTAACAGGGGTAACTTAGTAATTTCACAATTAGAATTAATTACACACAGGTCCATGGGGACTTCAAAATCATTTCGCAATTTCGAAGGACTTTCTTGATATTAATTGTGCTCTGTGAGACCTGAGTGTAATTTTCCCTTAATATAATGCACGGCTGAATGAAGCACAACCACTTGTTGAAGAAAATCAGCAAACTAGCAAAGGGAATGCTTATCGAATCACAACATAAAATGCCTACCAGCGGAACACAAATCATAAAACGAAGTGATGGCAACAAACTTTGCCATTCATTCCAATTAATACAGCTAAGAATTAAAAAAATTTTAAAAAAACAAAATGCTGATATTACTGCAGCATAAGGCCACAAAAGACGCCCCCAAACTTAATGCTGACCAATCTCCTAGTAAATCTGAAAACTATAACAGTAAACGACCAAAGAAGATGGTGCAAAACACTGCCATTAACGTAGAAACAAACATTTTCATGACTCTATACTACTATTTCTATGTGCTTTAGCCTCACTAAGTATCCTGCTATGTATATTTCATGCTCCTCCGGTTTTAAATATAACAATCATTTTGTAGTGCAAATTGTAATACAAAATGGGTCTTATATTTAGGACCAGAAGAATATTTCTTTTATAAACATCAATTGCAATGATTAGGAATGGTTAACAATTACTTTCCCATCCTCTTGTAAAGTTCTAACCTCCACTATCATAACTAAAGAAGAAACTTGAGCTATTCCTGATAAAGAATAAATTTAGGACGAGGATATTCATCAACAATACACTAAAGTCTATGATCATTTCACCACAAAAAAATTTATATTTGGGCATCTAACTTTCATAATACTTTCCCAGCATATCTTGTTTCTTCATATAAAGATATGCAATTTCCTTTCCATTTTTTAACAAAAATTAGGAAGAAAATAGAAAGGAAATGACAGCACCAGGAGTATTGCAAGCTGGACATTCTCTTGTTCCCATACAAAGAAAAAGTACATTGCCAGTGGAAACATATGATACTTGACCACATATTAACAGCACATAAAAAGACAATTACCCATCAAACCATATTCTTGCCAAACAAGTCAATTAACTGTGTAAATTCACAATACAAGCTTTTGCCAACCGCTCATGGTAGTTAACATGAATATTTGTGGCAAATGAATTTGAGGTGCAGTAGATCTCACATTGTTTTATTTCTTCAGCACGCCTCTATCAATCATTCTACTGAGAACCTTATCTGCCTTGTCATTCTCATTGTTTTCAAGAAGATATGGAATAACAATGTTGAGAGTTATGGAATCAGGGAGGCATTTGTTCTCTTCCATTCTATCAAGCAAGGCCACGGCTTCATCAAGAAAACCCTCTTTGCAAAGTCCATGAACCATAGCAGTATAGGTACGCACATTTAGTTGATAACCTTTAGCCAAGAGGTGCTGAAAAGTGTCCCATGCATCATTTAATCTATCACCTTTGCACAAACCATCAATAAGTATAGTGTAGGTCTTCACATCAGGCCGAAATCCTTGATTGACAATTTGCCTAAATAACGTAATTGCCTTGTCAATATGTCCCGTTTTGCAAAATGCATTTAACAAGATGTTATACGTGCTTACGTTAGGGTGAAGGCCCCTATCATGCATCTCATAGATAATATACTGTGCGCATGAGATTCTTCGTGATTTGAGCAACCCATCAATAACAGAATTATAAGTTACAACGCTAGGAACCAAATTTCTGGAATCCAGTTCCTTAAAAAGATCCATCGCTTCATCCACCATTTTCATCTTAAAGCATGCGTTGATCAAAATGCTATAACTAACAATGTCAGGTGCCAAACCATTTTCAATCATCTTATTAAAAACTTCCTTAGCCTCAATGATATTATTGGTCAAACAATGTCCATCCATCAAAGCATTATAGGTAACAACATTAGGTCTCTGATCACTCTTCACCATCCTAGCAAATACAGCTTGAGCTTGTACAATCCTTCCATCTTTACATAATGCATCAACTAGGATGCTAAATGCATAAACATCTGGTTGTATGTCTTTCGATATCATTTCATTGAGTAATTGATTTGCTTGATGCCATTGATCCATGCTACAGAAGCCATGGATTAGACTACTATAAGTAACAACATTTGGAGATATCCCGTGGTCAATCATTTCAAAATAGAGATTGTGTGCATCATTAACTAGCCCTTCTTTACAAAGCGCATCAATGATTGTGCTGTATATAACTATATCAGGCTTAACAAGGCGCCTCCCCATTACTTTAAGCAATTTAAGAGCAGATGTTGTTTTTCCCATTTTACACAGCCCATTTACTAATGTTCCATAACTAACTTCATTTAACTTCAAACCTTTTGCCATTATGTCATCGTAGAAATCTAGAGCTTTGCCAACATTTTGATTTAAACAGAGTCCTTTTATTAGTGTATTCAAAACTACAGCGTTTGGTTGATAGCCCATCTTGAAAATTTTCCCCAACAGAGAGAAAGCAAGATCCATCTGACCGACGTGGCACTGACAATTGATCAAGACGCTCAGGTTAAATAAATCTGGCGCGTAGCCCTTCAACTCGGCTTGTGCAAGAAGTGAGATAACCAGGGGATAATGTCTCATCTTCACTATAGACCCTAAAATCTTATTGATATGGCTTCTAGAGGGAGGGGGACGCATGTGGAGCAGGCGAGTGACTGTATCAACAGCGTCGCGGATGTTGTTGGGTTTTGGGGAGTGGGAATGAAGATAATATTTGCGAGTGAGGCAACAAGAGAAGGAGTGAAGGAAGTTATAAGTAGCAAAGACAGGAAATTTGGTGGAAGAGGAGTACCTTGCAGCAGCTGAATAAAGCATATTTGGGATGAGATTGAAGGAGGAGTATCTGCGATGCCTCAACGCTTCTTCAGTTCACCGAACAAAAAAATGCACAAAGCTTTGCCCCATGAATCAAATCGAAGCCTGAAAGGAGGGTGAAGCCAAGGTGTGATGGAAGAAACAGAAACTGAGGTAGTGACTAGTGAGTTCCGTCTCTCTCATCGGCCGGGGAAAAATCTACCAGGCAGGCCTTCGTATTTGGGTAGTCCATTTATTTGTTTGTTTATTAAAAAAAAAAAAAGGCCGAGGATGGCCCGTTTAATCAATCGTTAATGTGGGTACTCTTTCCTCTTGTTTATTTTTTTTTGTTATTTAGGCTAATATTTAATCAGGACTTCAAATTTAAAATATAAGAACAAATACAAACAAAATATTATGATTTTGCTAAAAATTAGATATTTATTTGTTTTTACTCCAAGGAGTGATTGGATGCTGAGGATAAAGATAATTGCCTGATCTCTATATGAAATAATAACGTTAATTTTTTGAGAAAATTCTAATTAAATCCATTTGAAATAGCAAAATCTTAATTTAAACCTACACTTTTAACAAATTCTTAATTAGGCCAAGAGGCCTTATTGGGGATTTCTAAATGTCGCTAAAAGACCAAAATGCCCTTTGTAATTAAAAAGCCTAATTTTAGTTTTAATTCTTTTAACTGAATTTAACTAACATGTTTTTTCTTTAAACCTTATCATATGAACATTTGGCCAAAAACATTATCATATAAAAAAAAAAGAAAAATCACGATTATGGCCAATAAAAAATAATTGAAAAGTCAAGATAAAAAAATAAATAATTTCTAGATATCCATAGAATTATAAAAATTTGGGAACTAATAAAAATTTTACGATTTTAAATATCAAAGATTGATAGGATTAAAGATTTTTTTTTGGATGTAAGGAAAAAATCAAATCAAAGATTCACGGAATTCTTGAATATCTATTAAAATTAATTTTACTATTTCACAAATTACATTGAGACTCATCAATTCATCTTCAATTTCAATTAAATCTACTTGATTTTTAATTTCAGGCTTACGCCTACATTCAATTTCAATTAAATCTACTTGATTTTTAATTTAATTATTCTAGTAGATTTAATTGAAATTTTTTAATAAAAAACAATTAAAAATCAAGATAAAAAAAATACATGATAATGAATTAAAAATTCATAGAATTCTTCCATATCTATCAATATTAAATTTATGATTTCTCAAATCATGTAACGATTGATCAATTCATCGTTTTTATTTGCTTGAAAAGAGAAGGCTCGCTGGCGATACTTCTAGTGGAAGGAGAACTGGCACAGCAAGCAAAAGAAGAATCATCTTTGAGATAACATTCCCACGGCATGAACCAATATCTTATTCATGTTTTAGTTTGTGCCATTGTTTTAATTTAAAGTTGAAAGTATAATAATCCTTGAGATAATATATAATTGCATGTGATCATTTGCATCTGTGCTAACCATTGTGAATCTCCAAACCTAATGGAAGCTTTTCTTCCCGACCAACTTCAAACCTAATTAAATGATCAATATGTTTGTGTCATTGCATGATTCACGAGAGATTCATTGAGCAATGTTAAGTTTATATCTTTTTGATAAACTCTCACATTCAACAATATAAAATGTTGTATGTGGAAGTTGTTGAACAATCACACGAATACTCATATTTTTTATCCATTAGTTATTAGTTAACCTGTCAACTATTTTTAGTCACGTGTTAATCATATTATTTTTTAAAAAAGTTTCAATTAAATCCAATCAAAATACTGATTAAATTAATTTATTCATTGTAGGTTGGTATTAAAAATGACATCTCCTTCCAGATCAACATTTGCAAAAGAACTATTTTGTTTTTTTCCATGTAGATGGGCAATTTGTGAAGAATGTTGAAGGTCAAATTCAATATAATTGAGGGAGAGTAAGATTAAAAACCATAAGAGAGGGGATGACACTTGAAGAAATGAGAATAATGATAACATCATGGATTGGCATTGATAGTAATAATGTCGAGATGAAATATACTGTGACTTTTGATGAGAAGACCCTAATAGATCTTATTGATGATACGGAACTTGCAAACCTATTTCAACATAATGAGAGAAGTGGGCATGTGTATATAGCATGCAAAGAAAATGAAAATGTACAGGAAACATTTGATGAGCAACAAGTGTAAGTGACTTTGTTGTTGTTGTTGTTGTTTTTATGTTTTTAAAAAATTTGGTATTCATTATAGTGTTATTGTTAGTAACAAAAGTTGTGATTGAGTTATGCAGCACAGAGGAATTGCTAGGAGGCTCAGAAAAAAGCCCTCTAACAAATGAAGCACTTGGAGGACCTAGTAGCCTACCTTGTAGAGTACAAAGTGCACCCACACCCATGCCTGAATTGAACTCATTGAAATGGAAAAAATTGTTGTCAGGAGTATTGCAAACATTTGCAAATGCTGATGCTTTTAGAGAGACACTCTACAAGTATAGTATTGCTCACAAGTTTCAATACAAATTTTTGAAGAATAGCAAGGATAGAATGTCTGTGAAATGTAAAATTGAAGGGTGTCATTGGAAGATAACAGCAAATGCGATAGGGAAGCAAACTCATTTCCTACGTGTGACACAATTTCAAGATGAACATATTCATCATGCTCAAGACAGCCTTCAAGTGATACATGCTCGAAGAGCTAGTCTAACGTCATCTATTATAATTGAGGAGGTAAGGTCTCACATAGACAAGGGTCCAAACGAAATTAGGGAGACATTACAAAGAGACTATGGTGTGAATCTCACATATAAACAAGCATACGCTGCTAAGGAAAAAGCACTTGAGGAGATTCATGGTAGACCAGAGCAGTCTTATATGCTTATACCATGGATATGTCAACGGTTAAAGGATACTGATCCAAAAACTGTGGCTGAATGGGTAGCTTCTCATAATAATATTTTTGAGCGTGTCTTCATAGCATATGGTTGTTGTATAGAAGGATTCATGGTTAGGGCAAGACATATACTATATATAGATGGAACTCATTTAAGTGGCCCGTATAAGGGCACCTTACTATCAGCCTCCGCATATGATGCAGATAATGAATTGTTGCCATTTGCAATTGGTATTGTAAAAGGAGAGACATATGAGGACTGGACATGGTTTTTGGTTATGATTAAAAAGATAATAGGGTTAGTTGAATTGACAATTGTTTCAGACCGTCACAATGCTATAATAAGAGCTGTATGGGAAATATTTGGTGGTGAGCGTCATGCATTTTGCTATCGACACGTGAAGGAAAACTTTAGTGCAGAATTGATGAAATTAAATAGAGGTAAGAAAAGGACAAGTGCCCAGAGCAAGGATGATGCGCTAAAATTGCTTGATGACATTGCATATGCAAGGCTTGAAAGTGAGTTCAATGATGCTATGGAAAACATGAGAAGTTTCTCTTCACAATTATTTCAGTGGCTTGAGAATCATGGGGATGTTGATAGGTGGGCTTTAAGCAAGTTTCCATTTAGACGATGGGACAATATAACAACAAATCTTGTTGAGTCGTTCAATGCATGGATGGTGAAGGAGATGAGGCATAATGTTGCTCAATTGATCCATGAGCATCGAGAAAAGGTAGCAAAGAAAATGTATGCATCAAGTATGGCAATGAGGAAGTGGAAAACTATTGTTGGTCCAAACATAGAATCAAAAGTGAGAGAGCATGTGGCTAGAGTTAATGTTAGCTGAACATTATGGAGACATGATTTGTGTTCATACATCTTTTGGAGAGTTACAGGTTGATCTTCGTGCACATCAATGCAGTTGTGCAGTATGGCAAATGTCTGGAATTCCATGTCCACACGCTTGTACTGTAACATCCTGAGTTTTATCGGGTTCTTAATAACCTCTTTTGGTTGATTTTGAGGATAGATTAGTGATTTAATCTTGATCTTGGTGTTTGGGTTGGATTTGAGGCATGTTGGAGGAATAGGTGAACGTACCCCTCACAGGGTCGCCGCGGCGCACTGGGAGTTCCAGGTAGAGTGTCTTCTCAGGAAGGTTTGGTCGCGGCGAAGTCTTGGGGACGCCGCGGCGAAGTTGTTCAGGTGAGCGAGGCTTCCCTTTCGGGAAGGTTTCGCCGCGGCGAAGGTAAGGGCATGCCGCGGCAAAGTTTTTCTGGGCGAGCGAGAGTTTCCTCTCGGGAAGCTTTCGCCGTGGCAAAGATTGGAGTTCACCGCAGCGAAGTCGGGTTTTCAGGCGAGTAATCCCTCTCGGGATTAGTTCGCCGTGACAAAGATTGGAGTTCGCCGCGGCGAAAGGTCTCGAATCTATATAGTCTCGCGAGGGGTTCAGTGTGCGAAAATTAGAAAATCTGAAGGGAGAGAGAGGAACTCTGCTAGGGTTTCGAATTTCTGGCTTGGAGGGGGCATTTCTAAGGATCCATTACCTCAAGTAAGTGATTTTAACCTCTAATCTACTTTCTTTCTTGGAATTTCTGAGGATTTTTGGTGGAACCCTAGGATTTTCTAGGTTGTGATGGAACTGAGGTTTTTGACCGATTGTTTTGAGTTTAATTGATTGTTTTGGAATAGTCTAAGTATTTAATCGGCGTAGTTTTCTTGGATTTAAAGGATCTTGAGTTTTTGAAGCTAGGGTTTATGGAAATGGATGATTTGGGATTGAGGATGACAATGTAGAGGTTGATTCTGAGTTTTGTGAATTGGGTTATGTTAAGGAAGGTTAAATTGGATGTTTAATCGGTTTAGATTGTTGTTAGAACTTCAATTGTTCAAAATAGATGTTTGGGTGTAGAATTCCTATAGTGGGTCCTTGAGGTTATGAATTTTAATTGATGTTTAGAAAGGAACTAAGGTTTTAATGGATTGGTATAACCATGGAGTGTTGCCTTGATAGTTATACCCTTTGAGTTGGGTAGAGTTTTGATGGGAGATAGGAATTTTGTGTCCCCAAGTATTGTTTTGGCCACATTATTAGTTTGAAAGCTAATATATGATGGTTGTGTGTTTGTGTGCTTGTGTAGACCGATTGTGAGTCTTGGTGGTGCACGGGGCCACATCGTTGGTTTGTTGTTCCTTGCTCAGGCGAGAGGTAACCACTTTCCAATCCTTAGTACTTGCTTCTGTGGTATTGTGAGTAGATTTATGTTTTGTGCTCTAAGTAGTAATTATGTTCAAACTATATGTTGTATATAAAAAGGAAAAACCGTCTTGTGGGGTTTCGATTGATGATGAATGAAATATTGAAATTGTGAAGGATATGCCACTGAATGAAGTTACTTATGAAATGTTCGACTACTATTTGATTATGGTTTGAGCATGATACATGAATTGGGATTTGGTGAGAGTTTTTGATAGTTACTACCACGTGGTAAGGCCTCCATTAATGCCTGATGGTTAGCTCTTTACGTCTCCCATATTGAGGGATAAGCCTTTTGTTGAAAATTGTGCCCTAGGGGCTAATCATTATGTTTTGAACATTGTTAATTTATGAATTTATTAATTACGTTATCATATTATTTGCATGTTTACTGTGATGACTATCCTTGGATAACTCATGGTTTATCCTAAATGTCCCTGGTCGGTCATCTATGTGGGAGCAGAGATGAAATAAGACCAGTATGACTTTAAAGATATATAGAGATATAAATTAAAGTCATAGGCACATGTAAGAGTACAAGGTGTTGGACCGACCCGCTATGAGAGAGCTGCATGGGTTAAGTCATAAGCTTTTCTCATATACAAACCATGTCACTGTGCCCTTTGACCTGAGATCATCATGGATTCCTACATGAGAAACGCTTAGCTTTGACCTAGTCAAAAGTCACTTTTGACCGAGTGATCATAAAGACTATGTTCAGGCTTAGTGGTTTTTCATGCGGAGGAATGTGAATGGTCAAGATGGAATTTGTCCCTCACATTCGTAGAGAGATATTACTGGGCCCCTCGATGAGTGAGTCTGAGAAATGTATGGCCATATTATAATGGAAAGGTAGTTCCGTTTCTATACTCAGACTACTCAGGGATCGAGAAAGTAACAGTCATGAATAGGAGGATGACATTCTCCATGCCTCGTCTATGACCAAAATGTCGTGTGACAAAAGGGACGCGATATGGTTGTATGAAAGGTTACATCGTTCAACGATCCTCATATGATTTGGGTAGTCGTGATGTCTTGCTAGAGACTGCTTACGACTTGTGAGTCATTATAGTTAATGGCCCACTGCCAACTTCATATGGGCCTACAGGGTCGCACACAAAATAGCCCAACGCGAGTTATGATGTCCAGATTCATTGAATCTAAGATATGTCCAGATTCAATGAATAATATAGGGTGGACATGTATATATATATTCGTATATATATTATATAAATATAAGAGATATTAATTGTTAGATTTAATTTATAAGGATAAATTAGATCTATGTAAATTAATTCCGTCATATCTTTATTTTTTGAATTAAATAAATAGGTGAATTAAATCTGTGAGACGGATTTAATATAAACCATATTTATTTAATTATTCTCTTATCTGATTAGGCAATATTTGATATTGTATTAATTTTGGAATTAATTTAGGATTAATTTCGAAATTAAAAATCATTCATTAAACCTATAGCATCTTATATATTTGATATGAGGAGCTAGGGTTTTAAGAGGGAGAGCGAAAGCACTAAGCAGATAAGGGACGGCCAAAAGTGAGAGGAGAGGACGGATTCTCTGAAAACCCTAGACGGACAAAAAGGGCGCTAGCACGTCGTTCGAGATTGAGGGCTACTCGTGTGGATACCGGTAGAGGAAGCCGACCGGAGTTGTCGACTTCGAACGACAAAGGAGGCGAGCAGAGGCATCCTGAATGGCGGAATCACCGAGCCACCTGGAAATCGAACACCGAAGGTAATGCTTCTTACTACCTAACTTAAGCGCGATCGGTAGATCCGGGCAAGGGTTGAAAGTTTTAAATTTTGAGTCGTCTTTCAATTCCCTTCACCTTTTGGCTCCCTACGTCCCCCAGAGTGAGGGATACCTTTATGGCTCCTTACGTCCCCCATAGTGAGGGATAGGCCGGGTTCGGCTCTTGAAAATCCCCCAAAGTGAGGGATTGGTTGATGGGAATTGCATCATTGCACTTGCATGAATGTTGTGGCTATCATTTATTATATTACTTGTGAACTGCCCCACTTGACACCTCACGAGCACCTATTTAGTAGTACCTAGTATTGGAAAGGTTGGTTACTGGGACTTTGTCTCACCCCGTGGTTTACAATGTTTTCAGGTGAAGGTTCCGGGCGTGGGCCATCGGGAAGAGACGCAGAGGCTTGAGCTTGGTTAGCTTTAGGCCTCTAGCATTTGTATATGTATGGCTAGTATATATTGCCACATTTAGGACTGCTTTTGAAATATTTGATTACCCGGCCTTGTTGTAAACTGGAGAGAATGTATCTCCTTATTTTGGTTGGCCGGAGGCCATTGTTAGTGTCTTATGAAACTCTGGATTATTTTGTGGGAATCTTTTAGATGGGCTGATGTGATGTGTTTTGTTACCGGGCCGGAGGCTCGGAGGCCCAGTAGATGTAATGAATGATTTTAGTTGCATGCAACGGATTACGGGTTGACCCGAGTTTGAAAGTCAATTTCTAAAAATATGAAATTTTCCTTCTACTATGGTAGTTCATTTTAACAGATTTCCTTTTCTACCATAGTAGTGATTTTGTGATGAGTTATAATGTTTTTAAGGTTAAGGGTTTTACAAATTGGTATTCAGAGCCGGTTTGTTTCTTTGAAATTGTTTCTTTTCCTAGTGGCAATATACATACTTCATACATACCTTCCCTGTTTGTTTTGTGTTTCCTTTCTTTCTTTACTAATGAGGGTTTCCATCCTTAGTTGGGGAGAGGAAGGATGGTACGGACACGTCAAACAGATCCAGCCGGTAACGGACCGCCTCAAGAGAATGAGGCTTTTCTGAGACAAATGAGGGAGATGATGACGGCGGTGGTGGATGAAAGGTTGAGGAAGTTTGAAGAAGACTTCACAAGGAAGCATCAAGAGTCGGTCAATCAAGAGGACCGAGAGAATGAGGTGACTATGGAGGCACGAGGAGTAGGAGAAAGAGGGGTTAGGAGCGGTGATCGAGCTGGAGATTTACCTCAGAGGGAGGAGTATCGAGCGGCTAGCCAGGGAGGAGATACTTCAGAGGGAGTGATTTACCCTCCGTTGCTGAATGACATCACCAAGGTATGGAGAGAGGTGCATCGTCATGATCCTCCACAGTTCAAGGGAAGTTTGGAACCGTCAGATGCAGAGAAGTGGATTGAGCGGATGGAGACAATCTTTACTGCTGTTCCTTGTCTTTCCCCGCTCAAGGTACAAGTGGCGGTTACCTATCTTGTGGAGCAAGCAAGGCATTGGTGGGATAGTGCAAGACCTTCTGATATATCTCAGTTGGACTGGGATACCTTCAAGCGGATGTTCTATGATCACTTCTTTCCGAAGGAGTTGCGAATGGAAAAGCAATTCCTGTTCTACTCCTTGAAGCAGGGCGAGATGCATGAGGACCAGTTTATCACAAGGTTTATAGACTTGGCAAAGTATGTGCCCAGGCAGACGGAAGATCATTCACTCTGGTTAGCTCAACAATTGATGAACCGTGCAAGGCCGGAGTTGAAACAGCAGTTGGCCTTGTTAGAGGTCAAGACCTTTGAGGAGATGTGTGTGAAGCTGCGGGTT